TTTTTTATATATCAATATTTCTATATTCTATAATTTTAATTGCCTTCTATTGCTCTTGTCAGCTCTGCGTAAGTTTCCAGGCTCAAACTTTCATTCAATTAATTGTTGCCACAGTTTGACGCTCGTCATTGATGAAAACTTTGAATCAGAGTCTTCATTAAACGTTTCCCCCTTTTCTACGCAATAGATTGCAGCTAATTAGTTCATTAATTTTCAGAAACTATGAAGACATTTAATATTAACTTACAAAGTGAAAAGCTCAGAGGAAATTGATTTTATATATGTATGTATGTATAGAGTACCCCTGTTGCTGTCCATTCATCTGTTTATCGCTATTCGAGCGAAACTCTTACAATTTCTTACATTTTCAAATTGCAAAGACAATTCTTTCATACTTTAAGTGCCAAATTTATGTCCTTTTTATGCAAAGCACCTGGTGAAGCTCTTTAATGATTTGTTTTTATGTATGCTGCTAAGCTGATTAGAAACATCTCAAATTGCATCGATTTTTTCTTAAGCCCTTTAGCGTGTCTTCTACATTTGACATCAGCTGTCAAAATATTTTTACACGTTTTTAACGTTGCTGTCATAAAATTTGAATATTGCTTTAATAATAAGTGAGGGCTCGTAAGTGGTTGACTAAGGGATACCCTTCATCCCATGGAAAAGTATTTAAAGTATTTTTGTTTTACTTGCGATTGAACTTTTGATGACGATCAATTATTTATAACATTCGACTTCCTTCCTTTAAGAATTTCTTCTAAGTATTTGTTTTCAGAATTTCTTCTTAGTATTTCTTTTCGGAATTTCTGCCAAGTATTTCCTCCGAGAATTTCTTCTAAGTTTTTCCTCTAAGTATTTCCTCCAAGAATTTCTTCTAAGTCCATTTCCTTTTAATATTTCCTGTATGAATTTCTGGTAAGTATTTCCTCAATGAATTTCTTCTAAGTATTTCCTCAATGAATTTCTTCTAAGTAGTTCCTCTAGGAATTTTTTCTAAGTATTTGTTCGAAGAATTTCTTCTAAGTCTTACTCTGCAAAGTATTTTGCCGAAGAATTTCCTTTAAGTATTTCCTCTAAGAATTTCTTCTAAGTACTTCCTCTAAGAATTTCTTCTAAGTATTTCCTCTAAGAATTTCTTCTAAGTATTTCCCCTAAGAATTTCTTCTAAGTATTTATTTCCTCAAAGAATATCCACTAAGTGTTTGTTCGTAGGATTTCTTCTAAGTCTTTTGTCGAAGAATTTCTCCTTAGTATTTCCTGATCACACTTGACTTGACTTGACTCGACTTCACTTCACCTTACTGCACTGCACGATTGACCCCCACCAGGTCTGGGCGACTGAAGAAATGCTGCCGGCGCTGCCCATTATATAGGGCGACTTCCACTCAAAGCCTAGGTCGCGCTTAGTCGTTTAGTTCGGCCTCAGGTAGAGCTGGTTGCAGTCGAACTTGAATTGACCAATGGGAACAGCCTCTGCTGCTGTAAGCACTCTCACTTCATTTTACTCAGCTATAAATACGAAATGAATGCTGCTGCACACATACAAACAAGTGAAATGATCTTCGGTACATTTTCTTCGTGTCTTCGTGTTAGACTGAGAGACTGAGAGAGACTGTGTGACAGACATGAAGGCAGATGTACATACGGACAAACGGGCAAGCATAGTTTAATCGAATTATCTCACTACTACGTTCAAGAATACACACTTATATATTTTTACCAATGACCAATGAGAATAATTTCTGCTGTCTCAAGCGTGCTAGATAAGGGAGAGAGCCTCTTCATTTCATAAAAAATAATACAGAATAATAATGAAACTGTTTTGATGAAACACAAACATTTTCTCACATACATACATACATATGAATGAATGTATTTGAAATCAAAGACTATTTCCACAGTTATTGTAACTCTCATATTATCAAAATATGCGACACGTGCGCATAGGAATGACAAAAAATAAAATATTCTTGATTGCTATGAATTTGATAGCAAATAGAAAAACTAGTGCGCGCTGGCAAGTTCTTTGAAGTTTTCTTTTATTACGCACTTTTAACTGCCCGAAAAGCCATAAACTCAAGTTTGATTTGCTACTCGAAATGCATTAGAGCACAATTTCGATTTGGCATTGAATTTGATTTAAGGCACAGGAAATTGACTTCAGCTAACGAAAATAGAAAATGTCTCTAAGTAAAGTCACATAAATACTAATACGTTGTACGTGTCTCAAAGGACTTCAGTTGGCCACGCAGTAATCTGATTTATGCCATACTATTTAGGCCAAGGGGCAATCACACGCCCGCATGCCCACATGCTGAACAAATTTGGCTAATTAGCAGGCCCAATCAAGCCACAAATCTATTTTGCGTCATCTTTGGCCTACAGTTAATATGCAAATGCTGCGGCTGGAAGAGCTCAAGCTGAAGTGAAACTGTATTCGCCTGCCACGCCCACAGCCCATTTTTTGGGCCTAATTTGGTGTTTCGCTTGATGCGCGGCATTTGACTTTTTAGGCTTGTTGCATGCATAATTTGCTAAACAAGCTGCGCCTAATTAAATTCAATTTAAGTTTAACATAAATCACGGAAACTTCTTACGGAAAAGTAAGAGCAAAAAGCAAGCTGAGTGCTCGACTATGAAATACCCTTTAGGACAAAGTGAAAGTTAAGCTGAAAAGGATTTCTTAATCATGCTTTATTGGAGTGTAGCAAATGGAAGCAATGCCACACTTGGCAATACCCTGTAAATATTTAGTCTGAATTTGCTATTTTAAAAATATGCATATATAAATAATTTTTGTT